CCACAACAAGGGATGCTCTCTCAGCCTGAACTCTTGGGGGAGCGTCTAGGCCCTGCCCTGAACAATGACAGACTCTGAAGATCCACCATGGAGGGCCTCACTCTCCCTGGGGAACAGAGTGGGGATTGGGTTGGGGGTTGGGAGCCTGGTGGGGCACAGGGGAGGAGGCGAGGGAGAGGGAGCTGGGATTGACATGTGAAGCAAGCTTGTTTCTAATTTAAATGAAATAAAATGTGTAACCATAATAATTATTTCATAGCAAATATCTGTGTAACTTAGTCAACAAATAGAAGATTGGACAAGATGGTGGATTAGATGCTTCCAGCTATCACCGGGTTTTCCAGGAGATGGTGTCAAGACAGGGGCAAGCAGTTAAAAGGTGTGTGACAGTCCAGAAGTCACTGAAGTTTAGCTATGAACAGAGACTTGGAAAGTTCCTGATGTTTGGATAGAGCAGCAGGCAACCAGAGAAAGGTACCCAATCATTATACCGTGGCATCACCGCGAAGGGTGGGGCAGAGACAAATTCAATAAAGTAGGAGAAATTCTTTCTAGAACACAACCTGCTAGAGCCAAGACACGGTGCAGAACTATAACCTCAACAGACAGGGTGCCTACAATCTTCAGGGCACACCCTTACTGTGAATTTCTCTTTCCTTTCCATGCCATTAATGACAGGACAGTGTCGGTAAGCCACGTTAAGAAGCCAAAGCTGTAAAATATACAGTTGTGTTTCCTTCCTGGAACCTTCCGCAAAAACCATGTACTGATCCAGTGAGAACAGCTTACAGAAGAACCAGGCTGGCAAAGAGGGCAAGACTGGATCAAATGTGCTGCGAGCTCCCCCTGGTGGGAAGCCTGTCTGAGCCACAGCTGGGAAGCACTTCTTAGGAGCTCTACAAGGACTGCTAGATTGTGGGAGCAGTGCAGAGAATGGGACACAGCATTCACCCTACCTTTCTGCAATGCAGATGGAGGCACACTTTCTGCCTACTCTCTCACCCTAAGCAGACACAACCAAACACATCGGGTACCCAGACCTGCACTCCTGATAGAAACGCTCCAGTCTGTAGCCTCCCATCAAAGGTCAGCAGATTGAACTAGAGCAGTGACAGCTTGTGCTGTCTCTTGGTTGTTAGACAACACAGAGGGAAAAGAACAAGGTTGACAACACACAGCCTAAGTTCTCTGCTGGATGCATCCAGAAAGCTTACTACGCAGGCTAAGAGCATTCACTCGTGCCCCACAACTGACTACCTTAAGCCTGGTCATTGTTTGAGGTGGATGGTTCAATTTTTTATAATACTATTTTGGTCATACCTGCTTGTTCTGAATATTTACATATGAGTACTTCTTTTTCACTATCTTTATGCCCTCTTTCATCTATTCTTCTTTAATGCTTCATTTTAAAAACTTTCTTCCTCTTTTTTAAAAACTTTTTATTGAATAATTTCCCATCTTGTTCTTCTTTCAGTTTTTAAATTTTGCTTTCTTCTTATTTTTTTCATTATTTAACTCTTTAATTGAATCTTTCCCCCCATTTCTCTTAGTTATCATTCCTCCCATGTATTTAATGTTCTTATTTTTCTTTTCTTTTTGCATCACTTTTAAAATCCATTTCTCTTATTCTTAGTTTTTAGTACTAACTTTTCTTACCATTCTGTACTATGTTTTTTCCCTCTGTTGCTACTAACATTATGGTGGTAGCTGTTCTTCAATGAATATCTTCCGTTTGGTTTGTTTACAGGTTGTAAGTTTTTACTACAGTTTTCTTCTCTGGGGATGGTGCTGGAAATGAACCTCAGTGCCTAGAGCATAGTAGTCAAGTGCTTATCTATTGAAATGTACCCTATCCAAGTTGTTAGAAACTGTACCATAATCTAGCCATAACACAGTCACACGAAAATCTCAGTAAAAAGCCTTAAGGAAAAGGGGAGAGATTATAACTTCTAGCTAATATTTTAAAACCCCCAATATAAAAACAGTAAATATAAAAGAATAAGGCAACACGAACTCTCCAAAACAAATCAACAATGCCCATAGTATCCAGGTCCAGTGTTTACAAAGCAAAGGAAATAACACACAAAGAAAATACATAATATTATAAAATAATACTGAACTCAAACAAAGTGTACATACACAAATTAATAAACATAAAAGAATATGCAGGATGTAAAATAGCAGTTCGATAAAAAGTATTCTGAGAACATGAAGCAGAATTTTTGGTAGCAAAAATCTTTGTAAGCAAAAGTCAGGCAAACACCAAAACCAGGGCACGATCCCAGGGAGAAGACAACATCGGAATGAGAATTAGAGCATTCATATACAAGACTTTGCCATAAAGGAAACTGCCCACTTAGGACTTTACACATAGATGGGACCATTGAGGCAGAAGCTAAAGACACAGAAACACAGTAAAGTAGTATTAGAACTCCTTCCCCAAATTTTGGAAAGATAAGGGCATCCAGGTGTATGAACCACTCAAAACTCAAAACATATATGATAATAATGAGCATGCCGTTTCTTACTACAGTTAAAATACTGGGAATATAGTAGAAAAACAGAAAGTTGAAGGCTGCAAAAGATATGCACTTGGTTACTTGTGAAGGCAAAGCTATCAGGATAATAGTCAAGTCTCAAGCCAAGAGAAGGAGGGGTTATGTATTTCAAGGACTGAAAGACAAATGCCAACACTGATCCCTATACCCAATAGTCAATTTTGAAATTAAAGAATAAATAAAGACTTTCTAAGGTAACCATAGGCTGAAAGAATTCATGATCTTTGAGTCAGCATTTCAAAACATACTTACATGAATATAGAAGACAGAGGTTAGCAAAGGACATAGGGGAGAATAAAGCTCACTAAGACAAATGAGTGGGAACTCAGAATCTGATGTGAGAGAAGCAACACACAAGGAACTAGTGCAGACTAATGGGAAGCAAGACCCAGCACCTGAGCACACAAGTAGCTAAACTAAACCGTGGGCCACTGTTTTCCCCTGAGTAAACCACACAGATTTCTCTTCTGAGTGCCAAGAGTGTTCACCTGGACTTGGGTTACACAGAGTCTGACATCAGACTGTGTCACAAGCACAATCACTGACTCAAACAAGAAAAATCAGTTTTTTTTTCACCACAATGAACTTGCTGAGAAATCGGTATGCCACTCATGATGATCTTCAAAATTGGGTACCTATCAATTAATCCAGCCAAAGAAGCAGGTGACTTCCAAAATTAAAACTGTAAAAAACAAACAAAAAACTGACTGAAACATAAAAACAGGAACATTTTCATGTACATATAGTGGCCAAATTAATATCGTGAAAATGGCACTATTACAAGGACTAGCTTATAGATCCAATACATTCTAATGACATTCTTGACCAAAACCAGGGGAAAGAGCCCTAAAACTGATAGGGAAGTATAAAGGACCCTGAATAACCAAATCAATTCTGAACAAAATGAGGGATGGCTATGTCACAAAGTCACGTGCCTGGCTTGCTAGTTCTTCTTTCCCTGTTCTACAGTCCAGGAGCTCAGTCCATCACTCAACAACAGAACACTGGCTCCTCGGTGAGCTTCAAGGTTTGAAACTCTTTGCTCTTCTCAACAAACGCAAGGCTCTGAAATCACTTAGTGACTGAGAACCAGGAGAAGCTGAACAAAGTGTCCCTCTCTACTTCACCTGCAAATAGGTGTACCTGCATATTTAACTTTAATTTTGCATACTTAATATTTACATGTTTAACTTCTTCAACTTCTTTGATTGAACCAGGAAATGTACAGAGATTCAGAAGCCCAGAGCCTCACTACCCACTTTTTTTTATTTAAATTAGAAACAATCTTGTTTTACATTTCAATCCCAGTTCCCTCTCCCTCCCCTCCTCCCTTTGTCCACCACTGACCCCCTATCTCAAAGCCTTCCTGCTCCCCAGGGACAGTGAGGCCTTCCAAGGAGGATCTTCAAAGTCTGTCATATCATTTAGAGCAGGTCCTAGGCTCATCCCCATGAATCTATGTGGAGTGGGCTCCCAAAGTCCATTTGTACACTAGGGATAAATACTGATCCACTAACAGAGGCCCCATAGAGACTGCCCAGTCCTCCATAATATCACAGGTTCCATACTTTCGGTTTCTGTCATGGACAAGATTTTGAATATTAGGTATTTTACTCAGGAGACTTATTCCCAAGAAAAATATCAAATACACTTGTTCATATTTTGGTGGAGTGGTGAGACAATGATTGTCTGAACATTCAAAATCAGGATTTTTAAGTAAATATCTGTAAGAACTTAAGTACTATGCAGCTGAAGTACACGAAATGAGGAAAAAATAGGTTTGAGAGCCATAGAATCTGCCCACAGTCTACTGTGTAGACATGCGCATCAGTCAGTTGCATCAGTCAGTTAAGAAGAATAAGTGGGACAATCCAGCCGCTTGCCAGGGCTGTGTCTCAGGCCTGGGAGCAATATCTACTTGAAAACCAATCCAGAGACAGGGGAGTAGAAAATAGGAGACCAGAGATTACTATCTTCCAATCCATTTCAGAGTGCCATGTCGTATTGGATGATAAATGTAAACTTCCACTGTGTTATAAAATATTAACATATTTATAGTAATGGATTTTCATGACAGATATCCCATATTAGAATATGCAACTTAAAAAAAGATTATCAAGATATTCTAAAGGAATTTAAGATGTGTATCTGCCCACACAGGCAGCATGAATTGTAAATAAAATTATATTTTCCTGACTAAAATATAGTAAAATTATTTGAGATAATAAATAAGCTATAGACAGATTTATATAGAGACACAAACTAAGAACATCTGGAAAGCCCTTTTCTTTAATGTAAAGTCAATACCTCCAAAAGAAGGGTTATGAGGTGTACTGTCAACAACCAGAGGGTGGGCAACTCATAAGTAACTCATAGTAATTATCTCTGTGAAAACCAGAGTGTATAAAGCAATTCATAGAAGCAATAGAAAATGTGATTGAATTCTCTGGAAAGCAAAATAATTTACTTACAGTATTAGTAGCATTATGTTTACATATATACGTGGATACATCTGGAATTTGTCTTTGATGTAAAATACTTCTTGATAATACAGTTCAATAAATGTCAAAGAGACTCCCAGCTAGCTTTATTTAAGCCCAAAGTCACATAAAACTGAAATGTGATTTAATTTATTTTATAATTTCCTACTACAAGAAGAAATGACTATCCAGAAATTTACACAAAGCTTTTGATACAAAAATTCACCTATAAAACCATGCGTCATGGGCATGGGTCTGGTCATCAGACACAGAGAACATGAAACAAATGGAAGGAAGGTTGCTTATTGAAGTGTAAAGCAGAACAGGTAAAGGAAGGCTCATGATCATACATGTGACATATGAAAGTTACATACATAAAGAAAAACTCATTGTTTTGTCCTAGAGTAATATCTATTCAGTCATCTTAAACATTGATGCTCTTTCAACTGTTGTTGACCTCCAACAATTAAAAACAAAACAAAACCAGAACACTTTCTATCCCTATGCTGCAGAGAACTTTATCCTACTCAGAATAGAGCATACATACATACATACATACATACTTAGTTGAGTATATAGGTTGAGTATATAGCTAGCATACATAAGGTCCTGTCTGTGATGCCGACACCACATAAAAGCCATTTGTGGTGGCACATACCTGTAATACCAGCACCCAGGAGATAGATGAGGAGCACCAGATGTTCAATGTTATCCTTGGCTATATAGTGAGTTCAATGCCACGCCGGTCTACATGAGACCCTGTCACAACTAAAGGGAAAGGGAATGGCTCAGGGGTGAAAATAATTTTCGGCACAAAAATGAGAACCTGAGTTTATCTCAAGCACTCATGTAAAAGCTGGGCATGGTGGCATGAGTCTGTAACCATAGCACTGAAGGGTGGTGACAGAGCAAGAAGTTTATGGGTCGTGCAGTCTATCCCAAACAGTGAGTTTCAAGTTCATTGAGAGATCTTATCTCAAGAAATAAAAGGCCGTGAATCAATTGAGGAAGACACCCCAATGTTATCTTCTGGTCTACACATGCACCTAGACAGCTGAGCACAGTTATGCACATGTATGTGCATTCCCTATGTATTATATAGGATTTCTATTGCTGCCATGAAACACCATGACCAAAAAGCAAGTTGGGGAGGAAAGGGTTTATTTGGCTTACACTTACACATTGCTGTCACGAAAGGAAGTCAGGACAGAAATTCTAACGGCAGGATCCCAGAGGCAGGAGCTGGTGCAGAGGCCATTACTTCCCATTGCTTGCTCAGCCTGCTTCCTTATAGTACCCAGGACCACCAGCCCAGGAATGGCACCACCCACCTTCCCATTGATCACTAATTGAGAAAATGCCTTACAGCTGAATCTCATGGAGGCATTTCCTCAGCCAAAGCTCCTTCCTCTCTGATGACTCTAACTCATGTCAAGTTGACACACACAACTAGCCAGTACACCCACTGCCAGACTCCCACCACACCCCCAACCTCCCTCCCCCCCACACACGGAAGAGAGATATAGAGGAGAAAGAATAGAAGAGAGCATGCGGGCCTCACCCTCCCTGGGGAAATGAGGGGATATTGGGGGGGTTGATGGGAAGGCATGGGAGGAGGGGAGGGAAACGGAATGGGACCTGGAATTGGCATGTGAAGCAACCTGGTTTCTAATTTAAATTTAAATTTAAAATAAATAATAAAAAAGAAGAGAGCATGCATTATTGAAAGATTAGTAGCAGCAGGAAATTCACTGAAATATAAAAAAGTAGAAGTATCAACTGCACTGACCTTAATAATAGCAAATTAAATGTTTTGTGGTTTATAATGCATAGCAGTGGCAGGGTTGTACATGGTGATATCTTGCTTGTACAAATAGAGCCTGTTTGAAGATCAGAGGATGGAACTTTCCACTAGACAGGTTTTAGTTTGTCTTACTTAGTGTACACATTTGAATAATTTAAGATTAAACAAGACAGATAAACCTTCACTTTGGTACCAAGAAATTCTTCTCTTGTAGCAAGATAGCAGGGAATTTGGACAAGATTAATGTAGAAAAACAGGTGAGTATGTGACAAAGAAGCAGGCAGGAGGCGATGGCCTGGCATGAAGCTGGAGCTCATTTTTCCCAACTACACGTGGTGAGTGGTGATGGGTTTTAGTGAAAGAAACAGAGCTGATACTTTGGTAGCAGATTCTTTCCAAGGTTTATATTAATGGTCAGAAAAAAAAATAACAAAGAAAACAAAAGGTCACCACAGCAGCTGAAGTTCCATCATAGATAGATCACAAGAAGAAATGACAGAGATCACTGCATTTAACAGTGTGAAAATGATAAATCCTCTTTAGTTAAGTTGACACACAACATGATTCCTTAGAGGATAGCACCTGTGCATGACTTGTGAGACATCAAGTTGTACTTCAGTGACAGGGCCTAAGTGAGTGATGGCCAGGAGATAAGAAGATAAAGTAGATAATAGGGTTGGGGTTGTGAGACCTTGTATAAGATATGTCATATGCCAAAAAAGTTTATTAAGGACACAGTTTCTTATATACTGTTTCTGGGGTGACAGTATGGCACAAAGTCAGCAGAACCTATCACATAATGGGACTAAGTCAGGTGGAAGGAAATTTAAAAATATTGCACAAGAGGAACACAGACTGAGTCCAAAGCAGTCTTGGTACTGATAACCAGAGCCCCTATGGTGGGAAGAGTTGAGTTCTCAGGGTCTGCAGCAACAGTTCCCCCACGGCCCTGGCCCCAGGTCATTGCTGGATATACCAAGCCTATACCTGGTTTAGAGAAGGGCCTGTGTTCCTTCCATACATCAAGACCTCAGAGAAAAAAAATTCTAAGAACCCAGCCCTAGGCTATAACTTTCTAAGACCCTCTCCAAGAAGCTCATTAGTTTTATAATTGATTTCATGTAAATGGTGTAGCAACAGTTATTATATAACTATCTTGCATCTTCACTCGTATTCCCCATTCATTAGAATCAAGTTGACAAGGGATTGAAATCGGTCACAAATGTCAGTATTTGACAGTACACGTTTTTACAAGGGACATGCTCCAAAGGCAGTGCACATGGGTCTACCTGCTAGCAGGCAATTTCACTGTGGAAACTGCTGTCTGTTCACCCCTAGATTCATAGCTTTGATTTTTACAGCATCTTCTCCAATCCCCATTGTATCACACTATCCTATTTTCATCTCTAAATGGAAACCACACTGTTTTATGGTCTTAGAGTGCACAGATACAATGACGATCAACTGAAATAACTTATATGGGGTACTGCATAGAGTTTAGGATTCTGGTTCAAGTATCATGGCATAACACACAATCACAGAAGCAAGGCAGTAGCTCAGTGTGCACACACTGACAGTCTTTCTTCCTCCCTACTCTTTAAGTCAAGTCTTTGGCACACAGAGTCTCTCTCGGTAAGACTGGGCATCAAATGTCAAGGGAACAACAGACTAGGAAGCTACCATTGTTTCCATCTCTGCTCAGAACTCTGTGTTCACACAGAAAGTCCTTGGTGCCAGGATCTCCAGCCTATGTTCCAAAATCAAAGGAGTAAACATACTCCAAATGTCTTGAAAGAGCAGAAGAACTAAGTGTGGCATCTGCGAAGCACCCACATCTTAGGTTGTTTTGGAAGCAATGGCTGGGCAAATGAAAACAATGGAGAACAAGGTTTCCACTCGTTCTGAGTTGGAAATTTTCAAATTTTATTTTATTCCTTTTGTCTCTAGGAAAAGCATTTGTTTTCAGGTTCATCCTCAAACTATACATGGTTGAGGCAGGAAAGAAAGACAGAGAACATCTTGGAAATACAATAATGGGGAAAGATGTCCCTCATTGTCAGTCACCAAGTGGAGCAAGAATTCTAGTTACAACTAACAACTGCTTAAAGCCATTCTCCCTTCTCTGCACAAATCCTGCAGTTTTCTAGGAATCCCACTAGAAACCCCATTCACAGGAAAATGATCTGGACTAAACCCCTACTGGTTTTGATTTATCAAATCTTAACTCCTTCCCCAGTACCTTTGAAGCTGTTTCACATCTCTTTCTTGTGAAAAAACAAAAAAGGAAGGGAAAAAAACAAGCAAGAAGGATTCATAGCAATTTTTTGAGCTATAACTTGAGAGTCACTGAAAAGGTGAAGATGGTGAATGTTATGACAATCAATTGCTTACTCTCCCTTGCTCCAGGAGGCAGCACTCACATTTGGTTATATCTTATTCTTCCCCATTACCCCTTGAGAAGCATGAATCCCCACTTAGATATGCCTTGTTTCTTTTGAGTGCTCCTTTTCTCATATACATGCTTGAACGTGCATTTAAAAAGTAATTAATAAACTCCCAAGCTCTGTACCATTACAGCAGCTATGCCTGAAATTCTTTACAGTATTCAAGTCATGAACTCCCGTTGCTTTGGCTTGAGTGGCAGTCCTTAAAGATCTGGGAGAACTCAGGCTAGTGAGGTCAACAATATGGAGCTGTATCTATGCTTCTCCATCACTGCCAAAGTGATGACTACACCAAGAGGATAGGTGCCAATTTTCTCATTAATATCTAACCATTTGAATATGGAGAAGTTTACCATCCTTCCTATGATTGTGAACATCAATACATTTAACTTTGCTCATGAAAAATAACTGGCTCTCTCTCTCTGTCTCTCTCTCTCTCTCTCTCTCTCTCTCTCTGTGTGTGTGTGTGTGTGTGTGTGTGTGTGTGTGTGTGTATGTGTATGTATGTAGACCAGAGGTCAACCTTGGGTGTCATTCCTCAGCCACTATTCTGTGTTTTGAGACAGGATTGCTCCTTGGGTTGCAACTAATTGAATAGGTTGGATTGAAAAGTAAGTGAACCCCAGGGACCCATCGGCCTCCCTAACAGCAGTGCTGGGATCACAAGTATGTGACACCATGTATTTTTATGTGGATTTGGGTTTCCTGTGGAAGGCAAACACTATTAGTGTTCCTACTCCCAGCCTTTTGGTTATGAAGTAGTTTCTACACAGTCAGTATAGTGTTGGCCAGAATTAGATTCAGAGAGTCTGGTTTTCATGTTTCTAATTCAAAATTTCTATCTGAAAACTAAAGGATTTTCTATTAGGTAAGTTTTAATGTTTTTTAGTGTTTTGATAATGATCAGCAGTTTTTAAAGGTCTACATTGGTCCCTTGAAAAATATTATCTTCTTTTAGCATTTGAGCAACTATTTGCATTATGGAAAACAGAACTTAAGTGACTCCTAAATCCCCAAGAAAAAGCTGTTTGTACATTTGTACATGTATTACCCATGGATGGATGAACACAAAGGTACTCAAGATGGATGGAGACTTATCTGTGAGGAGTAGCAGTATTTCATGATTGCATGTATATGTACAGAGTTATACAATGCTCTTTTACTTATTTTTGTAGTCACCTGGCTAAAAAAATGCACACTAAGAAAAAAATATATCACATGAAGAAATGAGCACTGTATTTACACTAATTATATAAGCATTGGGCTATCCGTATTTAAAGGCAGAGTAACAAAAGAGAAAAACTGTCATTCTCAGACATAAGGACTCTGTGTTTACATCCCCCCCTCTCTCTTAGTTTCTCTCTCTCAGTTTTTTGAAACAGGGTTTCTCTGTGGCTTTGGAGGCTGTCCTAGAACTAGCTCTTGTAGACCAGGCTGGTCTCAAACTCACAGAGATCCACCTGCCTCTGCCTCCTGAGTGCTAGGATTAAAGCCATGCACACACACTTCGGCCTTTCATGTCTCTTTTTAGGAAGTTTTCATTAAGTTTCCTTTTAGGTATTGGACATGAGGGCTTTGCTCAATGAGAAATTATCACAGGACTGAGTCTCATCATAATTAAATTCGTCGTGGCTGAATTTCTGTTGTTATTGAAGTATGTCACCACAAAGAGTAGAAATTCTCTCCAAGTTAAGAATTTGATTAACCTTAATAGAAAGATTCCTAAAGTATTCACACCTAAAACTCAAGTCAATTCTGTCTGTTATCCTATTATAGGGAGTAGCTTGAAATTATGATTATAAGACACAATCTGTGGCCTTTCCACAAGTGTTTTTCCTAGGAAATGTTTCTCAGGCTGTTACGTATATTACATATACTCACTATGGGAAGGCATCTAATCATAATGAGTCTAATTTATATGACTATATGAGCAGTTCATTTTTGCTCAGCTGAGCTAAAATTCCTTCTTCAACAAATT